TAGGGAAATGAAAGAAAGGCCAACAAATTTGCTGCAACCTGTTGATAGCAAGCGACTTTTTCTCTAACTCAGAAATATCAGTTACTCTGAAGGGCATCATGCATCTTACTGAAGGTAAAATTGGAAGGCATTTTCTGAAGAGTGGGTCTCACAAATGAAAAACATCCAGATAGATCCAAAGTATCGGACTAGAATGAGGATCCTTTGGGAAAGGAGAAGTTTAGCAACATCTAGCAAATGCTGTGCATAAAGTTAGTGCCCAACTGTTATAGGTTGTTGGATAAATCAATGGTTATTTAGAAAACTGCTTGATATAGGAATGGTAAATTTCTATTGGAGAATTCTTAGGTGTTCTCTCTGCCCTAAGTATGGCTGGCAGTTTTCCTTTGCTTTACCTGTGAAATAGTTCAAAGCCAAGTTTATATACAATTATATCAGTCCTCTTTCAAAGGTACCCATCGTGCATCTGGTGGGGGAAAGATGTGTATTTTATGACATCTTTCACATTGGCCATTTAAAGACAAAGATAAATTCAAATTCTATCTCTTGAGAGAATATTAGCTTAACTGTTTGTTATGGCTTAAGGATACTGGCTAGTATCAATAGAAGGATGTACATTTTCCAAATTTACAAGTAGTGTACTGTGTTTAATATCTAAAGCTGAAGACATTCTGCTTTCATCTTGGTCACATACAGTTATTTTTGCAGTTCTACCAAGGGAGTTAGGCTATGCACAGCCATTCATTTGAGGCAAGTCATCTTATTTTTTTTTTCAAGTTGAAATTAATCATAGATATACATAAACTCAGAAACTGAATGCATGTTTCTTAAATGGGCTACTTTGTCTTTTTTGTTATTAGGTAATATTTGGTCTATTAGCCACAAAATTGGGAAAGGAGTAGAAACAGTAGTAACTGACAACTTGAATCATTAACCAAATATGAGAATCAGATCATTTCAAAACTCATTTCCTATGTAACTGCATATGTCTCGTTGATATACATGTTTTTCTGACAATTACATTTGTGAATGGTTCCATTCTCTCTCCTGTGCATTTTCTAGACACTTTTTTGAGTGGATGATGTTTCATGAAGTATACTGTATTTTTGTACTTTTTTCCTTCCTTAGCACTGACACAAAAGTAGATGAGGAGATGGGTTTGACAAGGTTCTTCCCTTTCACATACTGCTGTCTATGTGGCTGTATCTTGTTTTTTTCACTATTGCTACCACAACTATATTATCGTGCAAATGCTGTATTTTTCTTTGGCGAAGATAAAGTTGTCTTGAGTTTTGTTTTAAAATTAAAGTGAACTTACGTGTATTGCATTAAATATAATATGCACACAGTGCTTTCTGTGGTACTACACACAATCCAAGGCCTCCTCTCTCAGTTTTTATATAGATAGTGAGAACCTGAGCTTCAGTTGACTTTTCCAATTGAAATGACCAAAAGACAAGACAACATTAAAAAAATACTGTTTTTAATTGCTGAGCTTTAGCTATCAGTTACCTTTTTGCCCTTTGGGAATTTGGCATGGTTTCATTTTATTGCACTAGACAAGAGAATTTACTTTTAAGAAGTATTAAAATTCTAACTTTCTTATTAATAGTATTTAATATAAAGATTTTTTAAATTACTGACATTATGAATTGGTTTGATGCTTTTCTCATGTACATCAATCCTTATTTTAAAATAAGATCGATAATGCTATTTTCCGAAGTGTTGTCCTTACCTGCCCTACTCGTACTCAAAATTGCTATGGCAGATTAAGATGTGTCAGTTGAAGAGGTCAGAGGACTAATATTATTGGAAAGAGCTATAGTAGGTACCATAAAAAGCAAACAAGAAGTACTTTGGTTCTTTGCAACCACAGCTGTCTCCAAATATACAAATATTTTGGCACTTATTTAAAAATGAACTGGGCATTGCTAATACCCCAAATTAGCAATTTTTAATTTTAAAATACATGAGAAATGGGACTTTGTCTTGTCTCCAAAGCAGTCATCTAAAATCCACACCCCCATGATTAGATGAGTTATTACTGAGAAGTTATTGCACCCACATAAAAAGCTGCCATTTTTTTCCAAAGATGTCAAAGGCTAGAAAGCCAGGCCTTCTCAAAGTAAAATATACTGTGTACTGGGGGAAAAAAGTGTGAGAAGAGGCATAATCACCAAGTTAAACATAGTCTGGCAAGTTGTATTTAACTATTATCGTGGAATAGTGTTATTCCCTGATAACGAACGCTGGCATCAGAACCAGAAGGATTATTCTCATCTCCATATCTGTCATATTTGCATCTAGGAAATATAGTTTATTTATAATGAACACTGAGAGTGATCTCTCTCCAGGGAGTAAAGTAAATGCCCTGGCTAACGGTGTAAGTTTGTATTCTTACATAATTAACCATTGTAAGAAGTCAATGAGTAGATCCTAACTTAAGGGGTATTTGTGTGTGTTTGAGTATTTCTAGTATGGTGTTAGTAAGTTTGAAAAGTGTTTTATAAGCATAGAGCTTATGGGTGTTACTGGGGACACATGTCTTGTTTTAAAGGAAAGAGGGTTTTCTGAGATGGCATTAAATGAGTAAAATCTATTTATGGCCTAAAGCTAAAGTGGAATATGAAGGCAGGTCTTACTGAACAAAGCAGTTCTCTGTCACATCTGACTAACCCAGGGGAAGGACAGGGAAAAACTAGAGAGTGTTTTGAGAACTCTTCTGCCTACCTTTTGAATTTGGACATTAACAAAGTAAGGACCATTTATGTGAATGGCTTCCTTTGGTTAGTTATAATTCATTCATTTATCAGATTTATACAGAGCACCTGTCATGAGCCAGGCATTATTCTAGATGTTAGGGAAACACTGGTAAACAAAAGCTAAGATCCCTACTTTTACAGAACTTAAGATGTTCTGAGACACTGGATCATACATTCTAGTGCAATCACCTTATTAAAACTTAAGATTTTGTGATGTAAACAGCCAGACGATACAGATAATGTAAATGTTATATATAAAAAATACAATTTCAAAGAAATGACATTTAAACAAGTTTTAGGAAAGCTGAAGAGAAACAATATTGGTTTTAGTGCTTTTAAAGATGAGCTTATATTGCTCTTAAATGATACTGACTCAATAATCCTCAGCTTCCCAGTTTTTGTGAACTCACTTTGGGTTATGCATTTGCTATACTAACTGAGAAATTAAGCACCTTGCTTGATTTATTGTAAAAAGGAAAAAACAACAACAAAGCCATATTTAAGCAGTCTTAAACTTGTTTATTAATGTTATCTGGAGTCTACAGAGAACATAAAGCTATCTAAGAGGTAGAAAGCTGTCAAATACCTAATATGAAACTCTGAACCCTCCTATATTTCACAAAGCTATTGTAACACTTCAATACCTTACTGTTAGTGTCTGTTTGCAGCCTTTCCACATTTCTTGTACATAACTGAAACAGTCTTGATATTCTTTTGCCATTGGGACTGCTTGTCTGACACACTTCATAGCCGTCTTTTTATTGGCTATTTGGAGAGGAAGCGAGGGGGTACAGCAGGGGTGCACACAGTCCTGGAGTCTGGTTCATTCTCCAGAATAGAAATAAAACCCCCCAGTCTCCACCTTTAACACATTCCATCCAGTTGTTGTACAATATCTCACACTTCCCTTTTTAAAAAACTGCCTTAATTTTCTAATCTTTCCCATCCCCAAACACATATAATCTAGTGAATCACATCCTTTCCTTGAATAACTATAAAATTATCCTTTCCCAAAAAGCCATCTAACACATTCATAAGCTGCTTCCCTGGGCCATCTGGTATATGATTATGAATTTACTCATTTTTACTATGAGGATTAGCAAGTAAAATTAGGAAGGTTCCTCCGACTCCTAAAAAAAAGTCCTATAAAAATAAAATGATCTTGTATCAAGAACAAAAATAGCTATTCACTATTTTGGATTCTTCATACATTTGTTGCGCCTGCACTGATGTCCTGCTCCCATCTCTGGATGTATATATGTATAGCTGAAGTTGACTATATATTGCAGGACTTCTATTGTAGGTAGCACTTCAGCCTCCCTAAAACTCAGCAGAGAGAGAGGCCTTAGCTAATAGGAGATAGTGCATATGAATAAGCTAACATACATATTCTTTTTTTCCCACCCTTCCACCCCAATATGCATATTCTGTCCATACTGGGCATAATCAGTGTTGAAGGATATAGAGTAACAGCACAGGACTAAGAGTTCTGTATCACAGCCCACTCTTGGGTCTCAGCTTCATCTGTGTGTGAGTTAGATTAGATAATTTCTGATGTCTCTTCTAATCACTGTGGTAACCCCACTTGACACCTTGCATAGTACCTGGCTCATCACAGTTCTAAAATGCCAGTAATGCAGTGACTCGTCTAGCAAAAACTTACTTTATGACAGATAACTTTGATAAATGAAAATGTAACAATCATGGTGTTGATGCCATGTACTTTCTCTGTGGTTGGAAAACTATACACTACCCCCAGCCTGAAGGGAAAGAGTGCCTTAAAGACCTGGGATTTCTGGCATTGGAAGCGAATGCTCTTCCCACACAGAGTAAATTAGGAGCTGAGGTTTGCTGGCTGGTCACACTCAGATTCTAGTGTGGCGGTACTAGGCTCAACTCTCTAAATAAATTTCAAGGCTTTGTGAAAATAACCTTTCCTCTCATTCAAGGGTATGTTTAATGGTTCCATTCAACAGATATTTACTGAGCACTTTCTAACTGTAAAAGGATAGTGTTTGCTTCTAGGGGACTAGAGACATGCCTACTCATCCCCCATCTTCAAAGATGAACTCTATCCAGGATTCTTGTCCTAATCATTGTGGTAATGCCATCTGACACCTTGCATAGTACTTAGCTTTACAGCAGGCATTAGAAGTGGATTGGAACCAAACCAGACACAGTCTGTATGCTCAATAGTGTTCCTGGCTCTTGTTTTAAGAAAGTTCATTTTTCACACAGTTTTTTTTTTGATACATATATTTATTATGCTGTAAAAAGCAACACTACCTGATTGCATTTAAAATAAATGTTTCCCAATTTCAGGATACTTACAACTTGTAGTTTTAAGATTAGATTCACTTTGGGAGGTTTTAGAAGCAAATACATTCATCGCTGTGTAATCCCCAGGAATAATCTAAATCTGACATCAGGTCATTCAGTCCCTGCCAGACAGACAACAGCATCAAATGGTCAATAGCTAATCCAGCTCTGCAGCTAAAGGCAGTGTGGGCAGCAGTGGGGTATAGCGTATTACCAAAGATGAGACCAGCAAAAACAACAGTGTATATAAAGCTTTAAATTAACATGACCATATACAGCTCTCAAGATACAGAAAAAGCATATATGATACTAAAGCCAAAACAAAAAGATCTTTGGAGTTTACTGACGGCAGCCGTTAATAGCACAGTCAACAGCATTTAAAACGAATGTATTATTACCAGCCAACAGCAAACAGCCCAAGCAGGAATCCACGCATAGTCATAAATAACATCAGGAGTAAATAAGGGCACATTTAATTAAACAACAAAGATTTTACAGACAGTTTTGATCTGAAAAAAGATGAAAACTCTGTTCCCAAATAACGGTTAGAAACTCTTTTTATTATAGAAAAACCTCAAAATCATTGGTAATCTTCAAGTCACACAATTGAACTGTCATAATTTTCATTTTAATCACACAAAGCAGGCTCCTATTTGAGCAAAGTTATCTCAGCTGATTTCAGTTAAAAGATGTCTACCCTGTAATATCTTTGGGGATAATGCTGCTCCTCTGCAGCATCTTACAAATGCTACCTGTCTTCACAGCTTGGTAGATCCATGGGTTAGGCAACTGCTTACCCACCATCCTCCCCGAGAAAGCTCAAGCATGGGAACAGCTTCGTGCCTGGTGCAGCTAAGGAACACTGGCTGTGCTTTCACCAAAGGAGGTGCCATCTAGGTAATGGGAGGGCAGTGGCTATAGCCACTGGCTTAGACTGGAAGTAAAATGAAAACACCTGGAGGCTGCTGGAGTAAGGTGCCATCAATCTTGGTAAAGCTTGCAAGCAGCAGTGTGTGCTCAGAGGAAAGAAAGAAAAAAGGAAAGCGCCGTATGTGGTAACGACTAGCATTCCTGTACTTGAGAATTCTGCTCATTTCACTAAGCACAGCTTCAAAGAAGTCCATTTGTGTGCATGTGTGTGTGTGTGCTTAATATCAGAAGTCCTCACTAACATGCCACTTTATCTCCTTGAAGTATTATGGGATAAAATGTATGTGCAATTCCTAGAAAATCCTGTTCTTTCAGTTTTTTGAAGCCCATTTTACTTACTTTCCAAATGAATCCTGAATTACCAACCCAAGACAAAGAAATTATAGGTCACAATTTAAATGAAATGGCCCTTTTTCTTATTAAACTACAGAGCCCATCAAGAATTACACAATAGAGAATCACAAGAAATCTGGAATGATCCAGTCGTTCCCCAAGGAGGACAAATCTCTTGATGCAGACTCAATGACAGGCCTGGAAACGAACATTTGTTGTAGCAGTTCCCATACTATCAGAATAACTTTGGTAGCTTAGAATATTTCTGAATTTATATTTACCCTAGAAGCTAAAAAAAAAAAAAAATCTTAAAGATCTGCAGTTGCACATCCCTTCATTTTTTTAAACTGATAAATTCGACTAATTTATACTTAGTAATTTTGTCTCTGGTTCATCTTTTGTAGACACATGGCAAAGTTCTGATGCCAGAAATAGGAGGCATTTTCTGACTTACTATGGAAAACATGAAAACTGCATAGTATGCCAGCACTCACTTTCCCAGCTAAAGGAAAGAGACAGATAGCTAAATGTCTGAGAAGAGAGGCTGGACTAAGGGGATATAGAAAAAGGAAATATTTTTTTAAGTATTATAACTACATTCACATATATGTTTTGGTCACCAAACATCTTAAACAGATTCCCTGATAAAGTCTAATCAGAATTGGTATCTTACTAACAGTTGTTAACTATTATAGTTTTTTAAGAGTCACATCGTGAAGCTAGGGTGAGAGAGAGAGACACTTTAAACACACAACCATAAGTGCATATAGTTTTTCAAACACTCAAACTAAATCTGTATTTGAAGTCTTGAAAATCACACTATTTGCTTCTAAAGGCAACCTTGACCCATTTGAACAACTGTACAACAGAGCTTAATTTATAAATGCATCTCAGCAGATCATCACCATAAACTGAAAATTCACAAAACACAAATCATGGAAGACCACACAATTAAGCTAGCATTGGTAACTATTTCTTTTACATCAAATCATACAATGCACGAGGTAATATTGCTCACATTATGGAGGGAGATTGTTTTATTTCTATTTTTTCCCAAAGAGATCAGATTTGTCCTGTGTGCACAATGAAGAAAACTCCAGTAACACTGAAATGACAAATGTAAAATATACATCACTACCCGATAGAAATACACATGTTCTTCATAATCATTTTCCACAATTAAATAGGTAAGTGATTTAAATCTTGGGATTTAAGACCATTACAACAATCCATCAAGATTCTTATGGACAGTTTGATTCTCCTTCCCGTTGTCAGAATCTCCTTGAGGTGTGTACTGGACTTGGTATTCTTGGAGAATTTTAAATACATCATGGTGTCCAAAGTGCAGTGCTTCATCCATGGGAGTGTTGTTCCACCTAAGCAAGTAGCACAGCATGGGCAAGGTCATTAGGTAACTTCTGTACAAAAATGACCACCCCACATGGCTAGATTTTAAATGTGGGTTAAATAGCCAATCAAATTTAGCCATTTTAGCAATTTTACAAATAAAAATTAATAATAAAAATGCAGAAAGGGACGTATAATTCAAAAAGCAGTCTCCAAGACAAGCTGGGATATGGAGAGGAAGAGAAGATCTGTGAAAGGATGTTGATATATTCAAGTGCTTATGGAAGGAGCTTTTTAAGGAAAGTCCTTGTGTTAACAGATATAATAGCTCTAGGGTTCCAGAATTTTAGCTTCATAAAAAGCCGAAGATACCTCTTTTTAAATAAAATGTTCAAAGAAAATTCAGGTACATAACATCCATCACTCTAGCCTTTGGCCGAAGATTTGTGTTTGTGTCAATTCAAAGCCACAGTAAGTCTCAGAAGTCTAGAAATAACCATGACCTTATTAGGGCTAAAACGCACATTGGCATTGGCCCCAGAGGAACTGGCATTTTCATCACCTCTGGTAAGGATGGGAAGCCATGGACTCAGTTGGACCACTATGCCACCAGAAGAGTAACTCCCCTCTCCATGCTTCTGGGGCTGTACTATTTAGAGGGATGGAGATGAAGATTTGAGGATAAGAAGAAATGAAGAGTTGCCAGAAGAGGTTAATCACTTGTCAGAAGGGGTAAATCTTTTGCAAGAGGAGACAGAACTACATAACCCCCAGCCCTAGTCAATGACAGGGTATGACAGGTAGTTCCCTTACACTTCACAAACTGTGAAGCCTGTCTTCCTACCCCATCTCTCTACTCATGTTACAAAATTCTCCATGGCTGCTGATCTCTCTCCTCTCCCTCTGTCCATGTGCCCCCGTCACCACCTTCCTAGTTTCACTTCCTGTTTCCTTCTTTCCCTTCCATCTCTGTCCTGAACTTTCTGCCCTCTTAATGGAATCACAATATGGAAAAAAAAGGTTTTTAAAACAGTCTCGTTTTTAAAATATTTTTTGGTAAATTTTGGTAGCCTGTTTTTAAAATCAGGTAAGTAAAACTTTACATGTATCTTTGTGTTTCTCAAACAGCTGAATTCAGTGACTTTGAATAGGCCTTCATTAGTTTAAGGAGTCAGCGGTTTCAAACAGACTTTTGAGTCATCCTCTACAGTATGTAATTATCTGTCTTTCTAGAAAAATGGAACTTCAACTGTGTGTTACCCTTTTTATAACTCTTCTTCCATGAATTAATGAGAAAAATCTAAATTTAAAAGAATACACTAATCCCAGCACTTCGGGAGGCCAAGTCGGAAGGATCACCTGAGGCCAGGAGTTCAAGACGAGAATGGCCAACATGGTGAAACCCCTCTCTACTAAAAATACAAAAATTAGCATAGCGTGGCGGCACATGCTTATAGTCCAGGTACTCAGGTGGCTGAGGCAGAAGAATTGCTTGAACCTAGGCGGTGATTCCCATGAGTGAGCTCAAGCCACTGCACTCCAGAACAAGACTCTGCCTCAAAAAAAAAAAAAAAAAAAGAATATACGAATTTTGCTCAAACCAGTTTTATAATTTAAGGCAACATTGATTCTATGAAATAAAGAAGACTTGTTGAATATCTAGTTATCAAGTTAGTTACTTAGCTCACTTTTTCTTATCAGACAGGTACATCTACATTTCTAGAGGCCAATTTAGGGCAAAAAAAAAATTTACACATATACAAAGCACAGTAATTTCCAACATGTATACATAGTGTTATAGTATTTTAGTTGGGATTGTAAACGCAGAAAGAAAACTCTTCAATTTCATACTCTAGAAAGCTGGGATGGGTATTAAAATTGGGAGAAAGGGAGGACTGTCATTCTACATGAGGTTTTAGAATACTGCCAATAAAGGTCATTTTAATCATGTTTTTTTTACTATAGAAATAAAGTTAGGTAATCAGAGTGTTAGCACACTTACAAAACTGCTAACATTTGTCAGACGTTGACATAACTTTTCTGCGTTTCTTGCAAGCTGAGAGCTTAACCAACAAAACCCAAGCCCTAATTTTAAATAAGATAGTTGGCTAGGCTCAATGGCTCACACCTGTAATCCCTACCACTTTGGAGCCTGCAGTGGGAGGGCTGTTTGAGCCCAGGATTTGGAGGCCAGCCTGGGCAACATAGTAAGACTCTAACTCTACAAAAAATTTAAAAATTAGCCAGGCGTGGTGTGTGCCTGTGACTGCAGCCACTCGGGAGGTTGAAGTGGGAGAATCGCTTGAACCTGGGAAGTTAAGGCTACTGTGATCTGTGATCATGCCACTTACACTTCAGCCTGAGTGACAAGGCAAGACCCAGTCTCAAAAAACAAAAAGCTTAATAAACAGAAAGACAATATAGCTAAAGAGTAATCAACTTGCTCCAAACTGGATTACAGCTCCCGGTTCTCCATATCAAACCACCATCAAGTATGTTTTTCCCCATTCTTCTAAACTTTTATTCTCATCACTCACGGATTTATCCACTCTACTCCAGTACATAATGTCCAAGGATACGAATACAGAGTTTACTGTACCATGTATGTGTGTAAGCTGTGTTCTTATTTCCCTGACCACTTTGTTGACAGCATTTGCTGAGGGATGAGTAGCAGTTTGCTATGCAGACCAGGAAAGAGAGAAGAGCAGACTATATTCTAGGCATATTTCTCCCACTATACATAGAGTGGCCCTTCTTTTCATTCTGTGCCTTCAATCTCATCTGTCCCCCAAGCACTGATTAAAATTTAACTTCCATGAAGCCTTCTAAAACTGATCCCAACCAAATCCAGAAATTTCAACACATTATTTCACATTATTATTAAAAACTAAATCATGCTATATAAATGTTGAATCTCTGCCAACAATCACTGGCTTCTTTGCAAATTTTGAGAGAGAACATTCAGTGTTAATTATCATCTTAAAATTTATGCTTCTCTAAAGGTTTATCTTGTCTACGCTGTGTAGTGAAAAACCCCACGAGGACAAAATTCCGATTTTCATTTCCAAAATGCCAAAACAAATTGTTTTCTTCATACAGTGTATTGACTGATAGTCAAACCTGAAAATTTCTAAAAATTCTTAGATAAGAAACAGGATATGGGAGACAGAATTACCTATCTAGCAGTAACAAGGTATATTGACTTTATAAGCTATCACGGCAGGTTCAAGAATGTCTCCGTGGGTTTAAATATTATAACCACTTGACCATTATATTCCTACGTAACAAAATACTGACATATTTAGAAGGTAACGTAAGTGCTCACCTGTCCTTGGGGAAAGGGTTTACTTTGCAGGCTTCCAGCAAAAATTTAACAACTTCAACATGACCTATACCGTCCCACCCCAGAAAAAGAAAAGCAGATTTTAGTACAATGTAGAAATTAAATGTGGAAAGAAAAGAGATGAGTAGTTTCTGTGTTACCCTCTGCAGCAGCTACATGGAGTGCTGTTCTGGAATCATAGTCCCGCTGTTCCATGTCCATAGCCGACAAAGCAAATCTGAAAATTGTAAGAACAGCTGTTCACCGTGGATTTTTAGAAAACAAATTTAACATTCAATGCATCAGTCATCTAAGGCCCTGTCAGACAGGTGCCCCATCTTTCATCAGGTTCATTGATGGGAACTACAGACCTTACGACCAGTACACAGGTGTTTTGGGTAAATGCCACTTCACCTCTCTTCCTCAGCTTTGCTTTTTTAGGTAAGATTTAAATGTTAACTACCTCTCACAAAATTGAGCTTTATTACATTATTGTTCAAAAATCAAGATTTGTGCCACAACTGGACCAAGGTTTATATCTCAGAATGGCAAGAAACTAATCACTATAATAAAGTTGTATGTTTTTACTAAGACTCCCATTCTTGAACATTTCACAGTCTACAAGTATATTAGTCAGACTTTAAAACAAGGAGGGGATGCATAGACAGTTTTCCACTTTGAAAATCAGCTGTTAAGAGGCCTTAATGGGAGCAAAAAGAAAAGGAAAGAGAAAATCAGTTACAGCTCTACACAAAAGGCCTTAAGTGTACAGCAGTGTATGGCCTTGCTAATGCTGGTATGGCCTTGCTAATGCAAGACACAACACGCCCCAGTTGCTTCTCCCCACCCCGCCCCCACACACACACCAAAGATGGGGAATGGAGGGAGAAGACATCATCCAATTCCAGTAAGCCACTGATAGTAATCAGCCAGATTCGCTGAACAGTCACTACTTGAGGAAACAGAGATACTGTCTTTTTTTCAGGAGGCAGAAAAGGACAAGATTGGACAGCAGGCCTGAGGCACTGGAAGTGCTGATATAATAAAAATTTTGTTGGGGTCATTTTTATTAAAGGGAAAAAGAAGTGAGGCTTTAACCTTAAAATGGCTGCCGGCCTGGAAGCAACTTCATAAGATATCTGTAAAGTGCATGCTAATCCATCCTGTAAACATACCTTCGAAGTGCAGACACATCTCCAGTATATGCAGCAAACAAAAGATTTATCACTGACTTTACCTGTGAAGAAAAGAAAGTTTAGGTATCCATAGGGCAAAACACATACAACGGCGACCTGTCACTGATAAGTGATTTTTATGTGCTTTGAACACTTCAGTTGAGTCATGTGCAAAAAGTTATCTCAAGTACACTTCTATAGCCAAAGAATGCACGAGTGGTATTTTCTTCTTTTAACAGTGGATTGCGAGGGAAAATTCAAGAATAAAGATACATGAGGGAAGGAATGGAATAATATTAATTGGCACAAAAGTGGAATTTTGTGAAACTTGTATCATTGGAGCAACTGAAAACTGTTTAGAAGCCTTCCCGTTCTGTATCTCTCATTATTGTGAGCAAGTTTGTATGCTGATAAAATTCACATTATTAAAAACTAAATCATGCTGTATAAATGTCTAATCCCTGCCAACAATCTCTGTCCTCAACAATCACTGGCTTCTTCGTCAATCTTTAGAGAGAACATTCAGTGTTAATTATCATCTTAAACTTTACTTCACTGGAAAGATAGCCTTTAGTTCAATGCCCAGGTGGTACAAATTGGGTTATTCCCAGAACTTACGACACTGATCTGTTTAAAAGGCTTCTAAACTCCAAAAATATTAAGTCATCTCTATTACCTGCTCCAAGATTTCAGTGTATCTACTTTTGACAGTTACCCACTTTCCTTTTCTTACAGGTAAGAGGAAAAGACTAGTTATCTGAAAAGCCACTGGATTTTGATCTGCTGTCATAAAGACTTTATCCATCCCTATCTATGAGAAATTAAACTATTGGTCATAGAATATTTGTAAATACTTCATAAATTCCCCATTTTCTCTTATACTTTGCAACTTTGACATTCATATTGATGACTCAACTGATACTGGACTCAATGGTAGAAAACAGAAGTTTAACTGGAGGAATGGAAAGTAATCCAGCTCTCCATCAACAAAACCACAGCCTGAACTGTGCTTCAAGACCTTAACCTGGACACTCTTTTCACCATGGCCTCCCCCTTCCACAACCCATGAACTTTCCAAATTAACTGGAACTGACCATTGCTGCAGTTCTCTCATTCAGCATTTTCAAAGTGTAATCTCCAGAAACTAGCCCACAAAATGGTCCACGAAAATAAGGGTCCTGTGGTTGGATATGATCTTAAAATGTTAAATCCCTCTCTTGGAGATTCATGAGCATATGAAAGGCTCTGTCAAGGTCTACAGTAAAGGAACCTAACTAGCTGAGCATACCCCCAAAATACTACTATTACTATTTGTGTTGATATAAAAAAACCTTAACCCCTTACTCCTTCAGTGCTTTAGCTTCCCTTCCAGCCATCCTTTCCTACTCCTGCCCAGCCTGTACCTATAGTTAGTCCCTACAGTCCAGAACAGTTTTCTCAATGGGGAATGGGGGTGGAGCAAAGAACTAAAAAGCATCACCCAGAATGTTCTAAAAGCATACATAAACATCTCTCCCATTTCTTGTTGTCCTACTCCTATACCTCAATTTGATACATTTTAGGGAAAGGAAGTAAATGCATAGAGTTTCTTTTTAATAGAGATGGGGTCTCACCATGTTGGCCAGGCTGGTCTTGAACTCCTGGCCTTAAGCAGTCCTTCTGCCTTAGCCTCCCAAATTGTTGGGATTATAGGCATGATAATGCCCAGCCAAAATTTTGTTTAAAGTCTCCTGGTGACTTTGATATGCAAACTCTTCTGGGTTATGACCCATTGTTTCCCTTAAGATCTTTCTTTTTTAATGGGGTCAATTCTGAATTCTCAATTCCCTTTTTTCTCTTGGGTCACAGAATACTGACTGGCTATTAGAGATTATCCTCCATATTTCCACCTGGTCTCTCATTACTGTTTGACAGTTTTTCTTCTTGGTTCCCGCCATACTTTCTTCAGTCCTTTAATATCAATGGAGACCCCTAGAAACAGAAGATCCTAACTACAACTTTGCTGAAAAGATAAAAAGCTGTTTTCAACTCTCAAAGCAAAGGCTTCCTCATTTCTGAGACTGATTTCTTATCTACTCCTTGAAACACTTACTCTCCAGATCCCCTGCTCTTGTTCCCTTACCGATCCCCTTTGTTGATAGCATCTTTAACTTTTCCTCTTCACTGGTTCCCTTAGCTTACCTTAAAACAGACACAACTTCATCCTATTTTGAAAAACCAACACTTGACCCTACTGTTCTCCCTTCAGTGTTTCCTGAAAGTGTATTTTTAATTCCCTGAAAATTACCTACACACTCATTGTTACCTCTAAATCGTGCTCCCCGAAGCTCCAGCAGCTTCCTAAGCCCCAGTTCCTTCAGATCTCCCCAGCACCCTCCACCCTCTCACAACTTGCCTTCCATGCTGCTGCATCAACCTGATCTTCCTCCTGTTTGAAGATTCATTACCCACTTTCCACTGTCTAATCATACTCCCAAGGCAGTTCCAATCTTCTTGCTTTTCAATATAATGCCCCTCAAAGGATTTCTATTCCTCTGGGCAGATTGACTTCCCCAACTTTAATCTAAATCTTTGCTCCTAAGCTCCAGCCCTACAGCTCCACTCAGTAGTCATCAGACTCAAAAACAGCAACAGCCCTGCCGGCTTCCCACCTGGCTCCAGTTCAGAACTGTCTGCCTACTTGCCATTGCTTCCAGGACTTTTAACGGACATCTCAGACTTATATCCAAAATAGAATTTGCTTTGTTCTGTCACCACTCACAGTCAGCAACTCTTTTAGTCTCCCCAGTTTGGGGATTACGCTACAATTCATCTACTTGCTCAGGCCACAAACTCAGGGGTCATCCAGTCCTACTGCATTTGCTCCTACAGATTGACTCCTTCACAGGGATGCCTGGCCACAGAGCCAACACAGGTACCACCCATGCTCTTTCCACCAAGGTGTCCTAGCACCCAAATACATCTGCTGGGAGGAAGAGTTTCTTTACCCAGTCGTACTGAGAAGTGCTTCTGCCCAGAGACAGAGTTAGCTTTTTCTAATTCACACAAATTCACCATACAGACCCTGAGGGGTATTCCTTGATTCTGTTCTCTCACAATCCACATCTAGCTCATCAATAAATCCTCTTTGCTTTACCTGCAAAATATGTTTTGAATCGTATCACTATCTCTATCACTACTGCCTTAGGCCTCATCTGAGCCACCACCTCTGCTGTCACAGGGATCTTTTAAAAACATCAAGGAACTCCCGTGCCTTTCCATCGTAACTAGAGTAAAATCAAACTCTGCCAAGGCTTTCGAGACCCTAAAGGCTCTACTGTTGGTTACATTGTACATATTATTTCTACCACTCTTCCCTTTCCAGCTCTATTCCTGCTAGAATGTCTTGGTGGTCTCAGGCACTCAAGGCCTACAACTGGCTGCTAGAGATGCTCTTTCCCCAGGTAATCAGGAGGCTCCCTCTTTCCCTCCCTTTGGGTAGAACAATCCACCCAAATGTTCTCTCAAGACTCTAAAATACTCCCCTCTTTTCAACACTCCTTATCCCTCACCTTGCTTTTCCTCTACACACACACACACACACTATATACATTTTAACCACATTTATATATAGTCGTATATAAGTACATATAACATATAATAAAGTATAGGTTTTTATATATATTTTTGTCTCTCTCATTAAATGTAGGCTCCATGTGGGCAGAGACCACTTGTCTTTTTGTTCCCCACCATAACCTCAGTGTCTATCACACATAATAGGTGCTCATTAAATATCTATTGACTAAGTGAATATTCTCCCCAAAGCATCAAATATTTAACTTTGGATATTAAATTGTAAAATTAATTCCTCTATCTGCACCCCCCCGCTCTTTTTTTTTGTGACAGGTTCTCACTCTGTCTCCCAGGCTGGAGTGCAGTGGCAGGATCTTGGCTCACTGCAACCTTCACCTCCTGGGTTCAAGCCCACCTTGGCCTCTAGAGTAGCTGGGATTACAGGCACGTGCTACCACACCTGTCTAATTTTTGTAGTTTTTGGTAGAGACGAGGTTTCACCAGGTTGTCCACGCTGGTCCGGAACTCCTGACCTCAAGCAATCCACCTACCTCGGCCTTTCAAAGTGTTGGGATTACAGGTGTGCGTCCCTGCGCCCAGCCCATCTCCCTTAACTTTTACATATTTGAAAATCATTACAAGATTTATTCAATCGTTACTGGTGCTCTGCTTCTGGTCCTTCTTCCACCCTCCGAAACCTCTCCACATACTTCTAATCCTATTCTCAAAACATTGCTATAATCCCTAAAGGCTTTTAACCAGGAGAGTAACAAGAAACTCAAAATCATTCCTGTTAACATTTAAGTTCTTTAGCTTTGTATTCAAGGTTCTTCAATCCAGCTAACTTAGTTTTTCCTCTCAACCTCGATAGAGCAAAATTAGTCTGCCTTACTGCCCTTGTTTTTGTCTTGGTATCTATGCTCTTCTCTCTAAGAACACCCAGATTCCTAACCAAAGACTAATCAAAGACTAAGGGCTTCCCCAGGCCATCCCAGCCCAGCATTCATTATCTATGTAGCTTATTGTCAGCTGCCCACACAGTGCTCTGTGACAGCACGTGCCAGGGACAGAGTCAATTAGATACCTCCACTCCCACCACAACCCTGGATTTACCTCCTGCTCCCTGTAAGCCACCATGCATACTATTCTCCTGAAATCATTTTCCCCACCCATTTCTCACTGAAATGTTATTCTTAACCCATTCCTGTGAACTCTGCTCCAATCTCTTAATAGTAATCTCTGTCTACATTTGCCTCACTATGGCGTGTCACATGACCACATGGAGCATTTGTGTGTCTTACTTCCCCTACCACTGAGGAAAAATCCAGATTCCCTAAACATACCATTAATATATTAATTACCCATGGTTCTTATTTTTAAAAATATGTTAGTCCTTCTAAGCAATAAAGCCTCATCTGTTTCAGTGACTGGATATATGGTCTACACATTCCCTTTTAAAATTCTGAATTTAGACCAACTAGTTTGAAGAGAGTCTATTATAGTATGTGTG